GCGTGGCCGCTGCTTGCTGCTGCTCAAGGAAAAGAAGGTGAGGTGCTGGGGGGAGTGGGGATGGATGCTGGAAGCTCCTGAGGAGCAGCTATGCCTGCATCAACCTTCTCGCTCCATAGCTTGTGTGCTTATCTGTCTCAGTGCTGCCCTGGTTCTTTGACCTCTGTGATCCTGTGAGCACATAACCCCAGTGCTTCCATGATTTCTTGACCTGACTGATTGTGATCCTTCTCTCACCTCTTGACCTCACTGACTGCCTTCTTGTTCTCAGAGCTCTAAACCAGAACGAGAGTGGCCCTTGGAAGGTTCCAAAGTCTACCTGGGAATCCGAAAGAAGTTTAAGCCTCCAACACCGTGAGTTTTCTTCCCCAGCCCACATTTCTAGGACCTTGCTGCCATCACCCTTCCGGCATTTCTTTTTCTCTCTTTCTTTCTTTTTTTTTTTTTTTAAGATTTTATTTACTTGACAGACAGAAATCACAAGTAGGCAGAGAGGCAAAGGAGGAGTCAGGCTCCCCGCCAAACAGAGAGCCCGATGCAGGGCTCTATCCCAGGACCCTGGTATCATGACCTGAGCTGAAGGCAGAGGCTTTAGCCCACTGAGCCGCCCAGGTGCCCCCCTCTTCCGGCCTTTCTAATTGCCCATCTCTGTTGTCCTTTGGCTCTTAGGTGGGGCTTCACGCTGATACTGGAGAAGATGCAGCTGTGAGTACCTCTCGGCCTGGCTTCTCCCCTGGCCCAGCCCTGCACCATGTCCTCTTCCTCTCTACTTTTTCTATTCTCCATTGCTATAGCTACAACCCCTCCTCTCCAGCTAATTCCCCTCTGACCATCCCCAGATACCTGTCCTGCACTAATGAGGATGAGATGTGGGACTGGACCACCAGCATCCTCAAAGCCCAGGTGAGGGGACGAAAAGAGCTGAGGGTGAGGTCAGAGGTCCTAGCTGTAGTCCCATGCCCACTGTGCCAACTCCTTACTCTCCCTGCAGCACGATGACCAGCAGCCAGTGGTCTTACGACGCCATTCCTCCTCTGACCTTGCCCGTCAGAAGTTTGGCACCATGCCTTTGCTGCCCATCAGAGGAGATGACAGTGGGGCCACCCTCCTCTCTGCCAACCAGACCCTGGTGAGGTCCCCCTGGCCTGCTGCTGTGCCCTCCTGAATCCTGCCTGTGTCCTTGCTGCCCTGCAGGTGGGAGTGGTGTGCCTGCCTGTCTGGTGCCCGCCTCTGCCTTCTCTGTGTCCCCACACCCCACCCTTGCCTTCTGTTGCCAGACCTCACTGTGTCTCTGTGTCTCTCCCTCCCCTAATCCCCATCCCACCTGTGCCCAGAGGCGACTTCACAACCGGAGGACCTTGTCCATGTTCTTTGTGAGTACTGTACCTGTCTCAGCTTTGTGCCCCTCGGCCCCGTGTTCCTCTGCGCTGCCTGAATCCATGTGCCCTCTGTATTTGTTTGATGCAGGGCCATCTCTGTGTGTTTGTGCACGTGTGTGTGTGTGTGTGTGTGTGTGCATGAGACAGAGAGAGAGTATTGTGAGGGGCCAGAAGGAATGAGGAAAATGAGGCATGGGAGGATATGATAAGGAAAAGGGAAAGTGGTCACAGGCTCTGAGAAACAGAAGGAAAGTGGTTAAGTGAACACATCTTGGAGCCAGAGAGACCTGGGCTGAAGCCTCAGTTCTTCCATTTACTCACTGTGTGATCTTGGGCAACTTACTTTACCCCTCTGTACCTCGCTTCACTCACCTGCAGTGTAACCCGTTGTACAGAGTTGGTTTGATAGCACACATGAAAAGTATTTTACTGCATCTGGCCCAGAGGATGGGCTCAATAAATGTTAACAATTACTAACCCAGGAACTCTAACTCTGTGCCTGCATCATGCTGCCCCATTCCCATCCAGCCAATGAAGTCATCCCAGGGGTCTGTGGAGGAGCAGGAGGAACTGGAGGAGCCTGTCTATGAGGAGCCGGTGTATGAAGAAGTGGGGGCCTTTCCTGAGCTGACCAAGGACACCTCTACCTCCTTCTCCACAATGAGAGAAAAGACAGCCAACCCAGAGACCCCTCTCATCAGCCAGAGGTCCTTTGACAAACCCCCTTTCCCCAAGGCAGGTGGCCTGGACCCAGAGCAGAGGCCACCTGAGCCCCCTCCTGGACCCCCTTCAAAGAGCAGCCCCCAGGCACATGGGTCCCTAGAGAAGCAGCTGCTCCAGGAGCTTAGCAGCCTCATCCTGAGGAAAGGAGAGACTGCCATAGGCCTGGGCAGCCCCCCGCAGCCCTCCAGCCCCCAGTCCCCAAACTCCAATGGCCTTCTGACACAAACACCTGGTTTTCCCACCCAACCTTCCAGTTCACCCTCCAGCCAGCCCCTCACATGACCCTCAGACGAGTAGTCTGAAGGGGAGGGTAACCAGAAGACCCAAGTTCTCACCATGGCAGACACTGCCGGGAGTCTCCTCTGCTCTGGCTGGAAAGGCTCCAGAAGCCAGTGTGGTGCTATGGAAAGAGCACAGGATTGAGGGCTCTGGACTCTCCTGCCTAGAGAGGGTCAGACTACGGCCCCTCACTGAACCTCCACTCACTTATATGTACCATGAAGTCACTGAAATAAGGAGCCAGGGAACATCCAACTGTTTCTTAGAGCTGTAAGCCCCACATAACTTCCCTCAACAAGTTGAGGGAACTCCTGCTTTATACATACGATATGCAGGAGTTCTGTAACAGGTTTGGGGTTTGAAAGGAATAGTTTTTACTGCACTAAGGAAAAAAAAAAGGATTTGGAAGCCAGAAAGCTGAATGATCTCCAAGTCTATCTAACCCCAATTCCTACATTTGGGGACTATGCTGCAGACCTAGAGGGTGGAGGTTGATTGGGGTTGGGAGCTGGGGTGAAGAGGGGCCAAAAAGGATGTGTCACTGTTAATAAATCTTGGAACCAGAAAGCTATTATTGTTTATTTCATTCATTCATTCAACAAATATGTATTGAGCACCTAATTAGGTGTCAGATCTTCAGGGTAAAGTTTGTCTGGGTGGCTCAGTTGGTTAAGTGTTTGGCTCATGTCATAATCCCAGGGTCCTGGGATTGAGCCCTGCAGCCCCGAATTGGGCTCCCTGTGGAGCCTGCTTCTCCCTCTCTCTCTGCTGCTCCCCCTGCTTGTGCGCTCACACGCTCTCTCTCTCTCTGTGTCAAATAAATAAAATCTTTTTTTAAGATTTTATTTATTTGAGACAGAGAACAAGCAGAGGGAAAAGTCAGAGGGAGAGGGAGAAGCAGCCTTCCCGCTGAGTAGCAAGCCTGATGTGGGGTTCAATTCCAGGACCCTGGGATCATGCCCTGAACTGAAGGCAGATCTTGTCTGACTGAACCACCCAGGCTCCCCAAACAAATAAAATCTTATTTAAAAAAAAAAAAAAAGATGGGTCTTGCTTTTATGGAGCTCCCACTCTAGCAGGGGAACAGAAAATACACAAATTAATGCAGTGTTGTGAAGAAATCAAACCAAAGCAATGTGCCTGTGGTCGTGGCCTTTAGGCTGGGAAGATGGGGAAGGCTGCTGTGAAGAGTTAAAGAAGCCAGACATGTGAAGTACTGAGAGAAGGAGCACTCCAGAAGAAGAGGGAAAGTGTCAGGCATGAAGGCTCTGCGGTGGGAAGAGGCTTGGCCTGTTGGGGAAACAGAAAGGAGGCTGGAGTGGCTGAAGCAGAGTGAGTGGGGAGACAGAGAAGAGTATGGGCTAAAGGGGGAAAGACCGGCAGAGGCCCAGTAATGCACAGCCTTATAGGCCATGCTAGGGTGTTTGGATTTTATTCTGAAGCAATTGAGTAGTTTGAAGGGAGAGAGTGATGAGATCTTATTTCCTTTTAAAAAAAAACATCAATCACTCTGGCTGTTTTGTGAGCAGTGGGTTATTGAGGTGGTGGGGGGCGGGGAATGAGAGACCAGATATTAGGCGACTGATACTGGGGCTTGGACTAGGTTGGTGGTTTTGGAAATTGAAGAAAGGTGATTAATAAGAGATCTTTCAGAAATAGAACCTACAGGACTTGCTGATGGAAAGAATGAGGGATAGGAGAAATGGCACAATGACTCTGGGTTTCAGACTTTCCTAACCAGATGAAGAGAGGTACCATTTAGTGTTTTGTCTGGGGAAGATAACTGGAGAAGGATCAGGTAGAAAGAGCGGATTTAAAAATTTGAGGTAATTGTTAGATCTACAAGTTGGAGGTGTCAATGGGCTGTTGGAAATGTGAATCTGGGGTTTGGGGCCACAGATAACTGCTTTTCCAAGTCGGGGTGTGGGCCAAGGATAGGTGAGGGGAATGAAGAAAGGGTGTGGGGATCCTCAGAAAGTAGGGATTGCGCTGGTAGAACCTGGGGCACAGAGCCCGAAAGGCAGACCCTAATGGTGACAGGGCTTCCTGGGGTGCCAGGCCTTACACCCATCTCCCCAATTACATCCATTCACTGGTATCATTTAGTTTCCATTGGCCCCTGACATACCTTTCTTCCTCTGGGACTGGCTTCCTCCTGGCTCCGGGCAATCTTCTCATCACCACTCACTGGCTTTTCCAGTTCTGTGGGAATTTGGAAAAGGTCAGAGAGCAGCCCTGTTTCCCTTGTCAGAAGCATCTTTGCTCAGGTATCCAATGACAAATTGGTCACAAATTGAGTTCCTCCTCTTCAGGCGTCACCCTTCGCGCCCGAGGGAGGACAGGAGGACCGGAGATCTGCATATGTAAATGAGTGATTCGTAGTAATTACGGGCTGAGTCAGTGGCTCCACTAGAAATAGAACCCAGGCGTCTTGACTCAGAAACTTGGGGTTCCCCTACCGCGCAGCGGACGCCGCGTCCACTCTGCGGTCCTGACCCTTTCCGGGGCTGCCGCAGCACCAACAGAAGTTTCTTCGGTTTCTCCGCGGCACCTTCGCGCTTCGCAGCCCTGCGCGTAGCCGGACCAGGCGTGGGCGGGACGGGGGCGGAGCTGGGCCAGGTCCGGGGCGGGGCTTTGGCGTGGGCGGGGCTTCCTCGAGTTCCGGAGTCCAGTCGCTTCCCTTGGCCAGAGTGGAGATGCAGCCGCCGCCCCGAAAAGTGAGCTTGGCCTGGGAATGGGGACTCCTGGTGGGCTGGGGGAATGGTGGGAGTTGAGGGGGTCACCGGAGCCGCAGTGGGGGACGAGGAGTTGTAAGGGTTCGGGGCCTAACCCTGAAGTAACCCAGGAAACACCCCAGTCCCTCCCCGGTCCCGCCCCCTCACCGCTCCCTGCGCGGAGTGTTTTTCAGGTCCCGGCGCCAGGGGTCTTCAACCTCTTGTTACCCCCGCAGGTGAAGCCGGCCCAGGAGGTGAAGCTTCGCTTCTTGGAGCAGCTGAGCATCCTTCAGACCCGGCAGCAGAGGGAGGCGGATCTGCTGGAGGACATCAGGTAGCTTCTGATTCCTTCCACCATACCCTGACCTTTGCGGTTGCGCGCCCCTCCTCTCCTCGAACAGACCTGGGTCAGAGCTGGCCTGGGGAGGGGAAAGCAGGGGGTGAAGGGTTCTCCAACCTGCCCATTCCCGGCCCTCACTGTCGGCCTGGCTCTCCAGATACCGGTAGGGCTTATCCTTCCTCCTAACCCAACACACAGAAACACACAGGGACCCTCTCTCAAACCCATTGACTCCACACCCCTCCCTCTGCCCCACAATCAAGCTTGGGGCAGAATCTCCCCTCCCTCTTCCAGACTTGTTGGAAGGCTGGAATGTATCCAGGCCCCCATTCGTCCTCACCTCCAAGTCCAAAGATGGTTCTCCAGAGGTAGGGAGGATCCTGCTGAGGCTCTGAACAATGAGGTAAGGTTGTTCTGGGTTGCAGCTGCCTGAGGTGATCTCAAGGACTCTCTCTCCAGTCTCATTCCTTCCTGATGTACTCACACTTTAGGTCTGGCTCCCCTCTTCTTCCTGCCCAGGCTGAGGAGAGGATTGAGGGTGGGAGAACAGGACCAAACAGTGACACCATCCTGCCCCTTTAATCTTCATAGGTCCTACAGCAAGCAGAGGGCAGCCATTGAACGAGAATATGGACAGGTATGGGACTCCTTTTCCTGGACTTTCTCTTTTGTTGTGGCCTCCTTTGCACATGGCATTGTTTTTCTGCACATACTCCTCTTCTGGCCCACGGCAACGGCCTTGAGTTAGGCAGACTGGTGTCAGATCTCTCATGCTACTTGTTGGCTGTGTGACCTTGGACAAGGTGCTTAGCCTTTCTTGGCCTCAATTTCTTTCTCTGTAGAGTGGAATAATAATTGTAACTTTATATAGGATTGTTGTAAGGATGAAATAGGTAAATCACTTAGAGTGAGTGGCACATAATATGCATCTGATGAATAGCGTTTATTATACCTGGATTTTATTATACCTGGATTTCATGTTCTCCCAGTTGTTGAGAGTCTTTGAAAGGTAACTGAGTCTGTGATGACTTTCCCACCAGGCACTTCAGAAACTGGCAGGGCCATTCCTGAAGAGAGAAGGGCACCGGAGTGGGGAGATGGACAGCAGGTGCGTCCCATGGATGGGGGTAGTTCAGGGGACCTAGAAGGGGTGAGGAGCCCAACCCCAGGAACCTATGGGAATAAAGGGCCAGTGAGGGGAGAGGGCATGTGAGCTGCAGGTAGAGCTGACACAGCAGCCCGAGAGGAGCTGACCCAGCAAGGACACTGTGGGTGCAGGCGGAGGGCATGAGTGATCCTTGTGGCTGAGCTAATGCGCTGATCGATTGATAGGCTCCCAGACAAGGGGGAAGGGAAAGCACTGTGTCTCCTATGGTGTTGGGTTTGGTGGTGGGGGGGAGTGTCTCATGAAGCTTTGGAGTGCTCTCCTCCTCAACACAGACCTTCTCTGGGGAGAGGCAGGATGGTGTTTGGTGCCTGGCGCTGCCTGCTGGATGCCACCGTGGCTGGGGGCCAAGCCCGGCTCCAGGCATCTGACCGATACCGTGACCTGGCAGGGGGCACAGGGCGGAGTGCCAAGGAGCAGGTGCTCAGGAAGGTATGGCTCAGTGGATGGGATGAAGGAAGAGCTGGCTTGGGGTAGAAAGTGGTCTGGGTCAGGACTCTGTGCGTACACGCCCTTAGGGAGCAGAGAACCTCCAGAGGGCGCAAGCAGAGGTGCTGCAGTCTGTCCGGGAGCTGAGCCGAAGTCGGAAGCTGTATGGGCAGCGGGAACGTGTGTGGGCCTTGGCACAGGAGAAGGCGGCTGATGTCCAGGCTAGGTGGGGTCATGGGGAGTTGGGAAGCCTGACTGGGAGACGGGAGCCAAGGCACCACAGCTGAGCCTAACCTTGACTCCTCTCCCTTGCCTGCACAGACTGAACCGAAGTGACCACGGGCTCTTCCACACTCGGACCAGTCTCCAGAAACTCAGCACCAAGGTTTGGGGGGACGTGGACATGAGTGGAGGTGGGAAAGAGGTGGGCAGAGTAGTCTAGCAGTTTGGAACCCAAGGGCATAAATCTGAGAGACTGAGATGAATCCAGGCTTCCCTACATCTTCAATGTGTGACCCTGGTTAACTTGATCTCTCGGAGTTTCATGTTCTTCATCTGTAATGTGGAAATAGTATATTTCTTTTTTATTCCTTTACCATGCATTTATTGAGGACTCTGTGCCTTCAGAGTCTGATGAGGGGCAGATAGATAGTAAGTAAAGAAACAAATAATCAGATTAAGTGAAAACAAAACAAGGTGCTATGGTAAAGGGTAACAGGGTGTAATTTAGAGAGAAAAGCTATCTGAACACATGGCCTGAATGGCAAGAAGCAGCCAGCCATGCAAAGATCTAGGGGAAGAACATTCCAGGGAGAGGAAACGGTGAGTGCAGAGGCTCTGAGGTGGGAATAGCTTTGTGGGCTTCAAGAAACAGAAAGAAGGTCAGTGTGGCTGGAGCACTCTGAGCAGGGGGACAGGCACTGTGAAAACAGGTCAGAGAGATTGCAGGGGCCAGCTCTTGTTGCACCTGGCAAGCCACAGTAAGGAGCAATGGGATTTTATTTTAAATGGACATAGATGCCACTAGAGCATTTCAAGCTGGAGTTGTTGAGTGTGCAATATGTTTAGTGTAGCACCAGGTGCATAGTAAGCACTCAATAATATGAGAATCCATGCTGGATCTGGGTTGGCCTTGGAAGGATCCCACGGGTCCAGGGCTTCCTGTTGACACCTGTTTTCTCCTTCTAGCTCTCTGCCCAATCAGCCCAGTACTCCCAGCAGCTGAGAGCAGCCCGAAATGAGTACCTGCTCAACTTGGTGGCCACCAATGCCCACCTTGACCACTACTACCAGGAGGAGTTGCCAGCCCTGCTCAAGGCCAGTCCCAACCCAGATAGTCCTGCCTCTTGGCATGGGGGGGGGGAGGGGGTGTTGTATGGGAGAGCCTCTCCTTGCTTCCTACCATCTTCAGGCTAGGTGGTGCTAAGGTCCCAGCCTGCCTTGAGTGGCTGTAAGTTACATCCTTTAGTTCTGGTTTGGGTTTGTCTTCTAGCTGGCTACATGACATTTTGCAGAACACTTAGCCCCTCTGAACACCTAGTTGCCTCATTAGGGACAATTTTTGTTCTGCCTACTTTATAAAACTAATGGGGCTCAGGCGAGAGAATGGATATGAAAATGCTTTTTAGACTGTTAAGGTCTATGCATACATGAGGGCCTATTATTAGAAGCAGTAAAATGTCTCATTTCTTCCCTCTTTCCAATTCCTCACGCCCATCACCCATCTGAACCTGGGCAGAGAGCTTGCTTTGCAGTAGATGCTGGGGGAAGGGTGGGGTCACGATCTTGGGGTTCTCTCCAGGCCCTGGTCAGCGAGCTGTTGGAACACTTGAGGGACCCCTTGACCTTGCTAAGCCGCACTGAGCTGGAAGCTGCAGAGATGGCCCTGGAGCATGCCCGCCGTGGAGGGCAGGCAACCTCCCAGGTGAGGGCCGTGCCGTGTACGAGCTCCTCAGGGATCCCCTTCACCCTCCTCTTCAGTACAGACCACCCACTCTGTATCTGCCCCTTTGATTTTCACCTGTCCTTCTTTTTCCGAGAGGGGCTGGGGATAGGCTTGGAGGGGTAACCCATGAGTGACTAGTTTGACCTTTTTGAACCCCCAGGTAAGCTGGGAGGAGGATCTGAAGCTCTTTCTTCAGGAACCTGGAGTATTTTCCCCCACACCACCTCAGGAGTTTCAGCCTGCAGGGACTGATCAGGTGAGACTTCTCTCTTCATTGGAAGCCAACCACCTGTAAAGGGGACTGTGGTTTAGGCCTACTCCCTCATCACCCCTGTCCTGATTAGTGACTGTTAAACTGTGGAGAAGGGGTTTCAGAACTCTAGTTCCTCTTCCTTCTTCCTCTGTCCCATTTTGGGGACTCTCTGTGTGTCTCTGTCCACAGGAATGCACACCTGTGCCCTCACCTCTTTGTCCCTGTGGCTGGAGAAGGTTAGGACAGGGAGAAGGAAACAAGAAGGGACTGTAGAGAAGGAGCAACATCAGGTTCTCCTCTCAGCATCTGTGTACACTCTTCACATAGGTTTGCACCCTGGAGCTGGAGGGGGATGCAGGAGGCATGGCGGGGGACCGTAGCCTGGAGAAAGAGGTTCAGCGCTGGACGAGCCGAGCTGCCCGAGACTACAAGATCCAGAACCATGGGCATCGGGTGAGGTGGGGGGTGCAGGTGTTGTGGGTGGGTGGGAAGCGCTGAGAGACGAGGACTCCAGAGTCAGTGGGGGATGTCATAGGGCTGCATGCAGGAGAGGAAGGAAAGGGATTTTACTGCAATAGTGTGGCACAGTGGTTAAGAGCCCAGCTTTCAGAGCTAGACCCACCTGGGTTCGAATCCTGCTCGCTTGTTTTCTCATTATGTAACCCTGAGTAAGGGAGTGACTTAATCTCTCTGGACTTCAGTTTCCTTATTGTGAAGTGGGACTAATAACAGTCCCCACTGCATGAGGATGATTAAGTGACATAATGCATGCAAAGCAAGTAGCAAAGTGCCAGTCCATAGTAAGTTGTCTGCATAGTGTTTCCACCCACCCCTGTTCTCTGCCTTTCCAACCAGGTGCTGCAGCGGCTGGAGCAGAGGCGACAGCAGGCTCCAGGGCGGGAGGCGCCAGGTCTAGAACAGCGGCTGCAGGAAGTGAGGGAGAGCATCCGGCGGGCACAGGTGAGCCATAGCCCTGTTCCTGGGACCCCTGAGATCCCACCTGCTCACACAACACCCTCCTGCTGTCTAGCTACATGGTGGGGAGCAGGGAGGTGGGAGGTAGAATGTGGACATGTTTGGGGTGGCTCCACTCACCACCCAAAGGCAGGCCCATCCATGACCTTGGTTGATCTCTCTTCCCCATGCCAGGTGAGCCAGGTGAAGGGGGCTGCCCGGCTGGCCCTGCTCCAAGGAGCTGGCCTGGATGTGCAGCGCTGGCTGAAGCCAGCCATGACCCAGGCGCAGGATGAGGTAGAGCAGGAGCGACGGCTCAGTGAGGCCCGGCTGTCCCAGAGGGACCTCTCTCCCACGGTGAGTACCCTTTGCTCCCTACCCCTCTACACCTGGGAGGGTAAAGGGTAGATCTCCCCAGAGGAGGTCAGACCCTATAAAATGGGCATCCCAATAGTACTGAAGTCAAAGAGGTTGTTATGAGGCAGGAATGAAGTACGTATACTTTTTTGTATAGTTCGTAGCACAGAGTGCTCTCAGTGAATTTTTATCGTGACTATAGGATGGCAGTTATGAACTAAGGTTCTGAGTATGGGCTCTGGTTTATGCGCCAGCCACTCCACTTACTACTAGCTGTGTGGTCTTGGAAATTGACTTAACATTTCTGAGGCTCAGTTTTCTTATAAGTAAAATGAAGTAGGTGGCTCAGTTAAGGGTCTGAGTCTTGATTGCGGCTCAGGTCATGATCTTAGGGTTGTGAGATTGAGCCCTGCATCAGGCTCCATGCTCAGTATGGAGTCGGCTTGCCTCTCTCCTTCTCCCCCTGCCCTGCCCCCCAGTGCATGACATGCATGTGTGTACCCTTGCTCTCAACTAAATAAAATCTTTTTAAAACATTTGAAAAGTAGGTAAAACGAGATGATATAGTTATGCAAAATATCAGCGGGTTATTGTGAAGTTTCGATGAGGTGCTATACATAAGATGTTAAGTGTCATTCCTGGCCCATGGTAGGCACTCAGTACTGGAATTTTGCGATTGTTGTTGGTGTTACCCTGCTCTGTGGTGATTTTGCTTGTGATACATGGTGGACAGATGGGTGGTATTATCTTGGGTATTGATCTATTGGTGTTCTTTAAGGGTAGAATGGAGGAGTGGGGATTAAAATGGGTACTTGAGAGTGGGCCCCCCAGTGATGTCTGTTCTCTGTCCCCCAGGCTGAGGATGCTGAGCTCTCTGACTTTGAGGAATGTGAGGAGACAGGGGAGCTCTTTGAGGAACCTGCCCCTGTAGCCTTGGCCACCAGGCCCCTCCCCTGCCCAGCACATGTGGTGTTCAGCTATCAGGTATCAGGTGGGCACGGGGGCGGGGACCTCAGAGAAGTGGGGATGGGAGACAGCCATGTCCTGAATTCTTCCTTGTGGGGCCCAGGCAGGGCATGAGGATGAGCTGACCATCACAGAGGGCGAGTGGCTGGAGGTCATAGAAGAGGGAGATGCTGATGAATGGGTCAAGGTGGGTATGGACCGTAGGTTCTGACCTTGGCAGTGGGTGGGGGGGTGCGGCAGTGGGAAGAACTTCTCTGTGGCTTGCAAGGACCCAGCCAGACAAAGCTGGAAGCCTGAGGAGGAGGGCTAGGGCCATGGGCTGCTGAGTCAAGTCTGCTCTCTGTTCACATTGCTGCGTGAATAGGCTCGAAACCAGCACGGCAAGGTAGGCTTTGTCCCTGAGCGGTATCTCAACTTCCCGGACCTCTCCTTCCCTGAGAGTGGCCACGACAGTGACAATCCCTCAGGAGTAGAGCCCACAGGTAAGAATGGGAAATTCTGGGTCAGGGGACCTTGAGTCATGGTGGCCCTGAGGTGTCATGGCCCAGGGAACTACTCCCCATCAACTCCCCTCACCACCTCTCCTGGGCTTCTGCAGCCTTCCTGGCCCGTGCCCTATACAGCTACACAGGACAGAGTGCGGAGGAGCTGAGCTTTCCAGAGGGGGCGCTTATCCGCCTGCTGCCCCGGGCCCAGGATGGAGTGGATGATGGCTTCTGGAGAGGAGAATTCGGGGGCCATGTGGGGGTTTTCCCCTCCCTGTTAGTGGAGGAGCTGCTTGGTCCCCCAGAACCCCCTGAACTCTCAGACCCTGAACAGGTGAGGCTTCCTTCTCCCTGGGTCCCTAGGCTTCTCTGAGTTGAGCCTCCTACTCCAATGAGGCCCCATATTCATCTGAATGCCCCCTTCCTTCTCCCGGTTTACTTCCTACATTGGCTTGGACCTCCCAATCTCCTTTGGCTGGGCAGAGAAGAGGGAAACTTAGGCAGTTTTCCCTAAGAGTTTGGTGGTCCTACTTTAGTGCTAGATCTGAGTTTAGATTCATACTGCGTTGCCTTGGGCAGTGATATAAGCTTGGTGCTTACTTGTCATCTGGGAAAACTGGGGTAATAATACCTACTTCAGCAGCCCAACCCTCGTGTCTAGAGATAGGGAGGTAAAGCCCTTAGCACAGTGACCCAGAAGAGGTCGTTTAATATATGGTACCTACTCTTACAGCAGGAAGAGCCTAGGAGAGGGAGTCAGGAGAGCTGGGTTCTAGTTGGGACTCTACCACTAACAGGCTCCATGCTTTTCAATAGATGGCTTAACCTGAGTCTCATCTCTACAAGAAATCATAAAACAAAACTCCCTACTTCATGGGATGGTGTAAGGAATTAATTAGTGAGCATATGTGAAGTGCTAACAGAATGTCTGGGTCATAGTACCTATTGGCTATGGAAGTGTGTATCAGCTAAAGCCCCCATGTGTATAGAAGCATCTGGTTGCTGTCCAAATCAAGGAGGATGGGACAGGAATTGAAGATGAGATGAGAGGAAAAGGTGATGAAACCTTCCTGTGTGCCAGGAATAACCCCATGTGCCCCTCGTTCCTAGATGCTGCCATCCCCTTCTCCTCCTAGCTTCTCACCTCCTGTGCCCACCTCTGCCGTGGAGGGAGCCCCTGCACCTGCATTGCCTGTGGGTGAGTAGAGGGCACTGGGGGCCCTGGGAGGGAAAGAGACAGGCAGGAGGAGAAAGGTTGCCCTCGGCTTCTCTGCCTGCCCTCAGGAACCTCCTCCATCAGGCTCACAGAAGCAGGATGGTGAGAAGAGCTTGGGCTTTGGAGGGGAGGCAAGTGCATCATTGAGACTTTGCATATGACTTCCCAGTGTGTGGTTTGGGGTGGGATATTGAACCTGCCTGGGCCTTTACAGGGTGAGGAGAAAGGTCTCTATTTCACTGAGTTGTTGTGAGGGTTAGGAAGATGGGCCTAGGGGTGCCTGGGTGGTTCAGTCGTTAAGCCTTCTGCTCAGGTCATGATCCCAGGGTTCTGGGATCAAGCCCCGCATCAGGCTACCTGCTGAGCCTGCTTCTCCCTCTCCCACTCCCTCTGCTTGTGTTCCCTCTCTAGCTATCTCTTTGTCAAATAAATAAATAAAATCTTTAAAAAAAAAAGAAAGAAAGATGGGCCTAGCATTGTGCCTGGCACATAGTATGCATGCCTGCAGTAGCTGTTTCCTCATGAAGGTTATTTTACAAATTAGCCAGCTTTTCCCACTACGCATCCTCTGCCTTTAATGTTCTTGAATCCTGTAAACACTTTAGTTTGTGTCATCATTTTCCTTCTTGGAATGCCCACCTTTTCTAAAACCTTCTCATACTTCTACTTTCTTCACGGAGCCTCCCTCCCTGATCCCAGAGGTCCCTGTGACCATTTTCTGTACCCCCTGCTCCAGCCCCTATAGTTCACTTTGAATGATTTAGCACAATCATTCATTGTGTTTGTTGGTTTTTCAGTACTGGGTTCCTGACAGCCACTGGGAATGGGGGTGGTGTGAATCCCATCACCCCCTCTCAGCAGTTGCCAAGTAAGTGCTGAGGATGGATAGATCAATGGATCTTGTGGCTCTAAGACTAGGGACTATTCGTTAATTCATCAAATATTTACAGAGTTCCACTGTTCTAAGTGCTGGAGATGCAGCGATGAACAAAACAAAGCCTGAAGACTGACTTGTGGCTCTTGTTTGCAGACCGAGATCTGGACTGCCCTGGACCCCTGGACATGATGATACCTCGACTCAGGCCGGTACGGGTCCCTCCCTTGGAGGAGATTGTGTCATTCCAACGTGTCCTGTTTTGTCTGCGGGGCTGAGGGAATGGACAGGGATGTCCCCAAGGGAGGGTTCTGGAGCTCTGATTCTGTGTTCTCTACAGATGCGTCCACCACCTCCCCCACCAGCTAAAGCCCCAGATCCTGGCCACCCAGATTCTCTCACCTGAAGCCAGGGGGATTGCTGTCCCCCAGTGATGCTGCTGTCCCTATACCCAAGATGTCAGAGAACAACCCCTCTATGATCTGGAGTAATAACACAGCCAAAAGCTGGAGTTTCCCCCATTTCCACTCTTACCTCCAGGGGTAGAAACTTTCCCTCTCCCTATTTCCAGAGCTGGAACTCACTCCTTTCCCCTCATCATAATTCTACTATCTCTAGGGCTGGAACTATCCCTCTTTCTTCTGCCACCACCCCATCTCTAGGGTGGTAAAATGGATTGTGAAATCTCTGGGGCTGGAACCCATCTTCCAAAGTCTTGAGTGGCTCCAGCCCATCTGTGTCTCCACCCTGACTCTGTGACGCAGTCCACTGGGTCTGTGACCCATGGCCACTGGGGTTGGGGGCTGGGACAGGAGCAGGCCTGTCAAAAGGAGCTGGAGCCAGTATGCAACACAGCTGTAATGGTCTGAGCGGATTTATTGACAGTGAATAAAGGGCACTAAGCCCAAGCCAGGGCCTGGACCTCTTTTGCCAAGAGGGCAGGGGGCCTAAGGTGCTATTGCTTTAGGGGCCCACCAAGGGCAGGGGCCTGCTCCCAGCTGCCACGCTCTAGCAAATGGAGCGAGATAATGGGGAAGGGGTCAGGCGGCCTGTTGGCAGGCAGGGGAAGTGAAAGATACTGAGGGATGGGGTTGAGACTTCTCCCGAGGTCCCCCAGCCTGAGGCCATGCAACTCCAGATAGAAGTAGAGCTGGTTCCTCAGGTGGGGACAGTGCTGTCCAGTGGAGAGGAGGGCCTTCATGCCCGCCCACCCCCTGGCCCTGCCAGCTGGTAGTCCATCAGCACAATGAAGAAGGAGGCTTGGAGGAGAGGAAGGGTAACAGTGTTGCTTTCTATTCAGGATGTGTCTCAGCTTTCCCCTGGGGGCTGCAGGACCTTCCCTGTCTGCTGGAGCACATGCCCACTCCCCATCACTAAACCAAAGAATTTGCAGCAAAGGCCATCCTGGGGAGTACAGTGAGCTAATGGGCTTAGGTGGTGTAAGTAGGGGGTGGGAAGATGAGATTATCTGATTTGGGGCCCAGGCAGACTCACCTCACACACCCCCTGCTCCCCGTGGTGGGGATACCTGTGAGAGAGAAGTGGTCAACAATGGGAGAAGAGGATGTGGGTCCAATCAGTGCTACCTCCCCCTGCCCCCAGGGTAGGAGGCAATAAGAGCTGAGCCCACCATAGCCATGCCCATGCCTTCATACCTGGTGATCTGAGGTGTCCAGTTTGCTTGACTGTCCAATTGCCTCTCGACTGGCCAGTCCTGGGCTTGGGCCCCTCTCTCCAGCCCCAGGCATGGGCTCTGCGAAGGCTCTAGCGTTCCCCTCAAGTGCACAAGGGATTAGGCTGCCATCCCTGAGTCCTCCATTCTGCACTGGGGGACTGGCGAGGCCTGGGGGCTGTGGCCTTTCAGGGGGCACACTCTCAATGGCAGGTGTCCCTGCCCTGGGCTGCCCTCCCCCGGACCCCTGACTACCCGCTGTGTCCTGCCCTCCACCAGACCCCCAGCTCCTGTCCGTGGGAGAGCCATCACGATGCTCATGTAGCCCATAGCGCTTCTCAATGTGTGTCACCCGGAACCTGGGAAGGGAGGGAACACTGGGGCTTAAGACCACAACTCAGAGACTGCTAGGCTTCCCCCCAACCAGGGACATCCTGGGTTTCATGGTCACTTCCCTCTGGCCTGGGGGGAGGGGGGAGACTTCCCCAGATTATGGGGCATATGTACAGCCTGACTTCTGCTGTAGCTCACAGTCTAGGAGAACAGAGCTGGGGCCCACCTTTGGAGTCAGGTGCCTGGTCACTGGGGCTCCCACCTCAAACTCCCTTTCTCTGGGGCTTTCTGTCCCCACCTGCCCACAGAGAACACGGTGGTCTCTCCAGGCCGGGGGCGGCTCTTTCCTTCCTTGGAGCGTCCCTGACGAACAAGCGGGGGCCTCTTGTTGCGGCTGCAGTGGATACAAGGGGCTGCAGAGCCCAGATGCACTGTGTGATGATGGGAAGGGGCTCCATCTTGCAGGCTGGAGGTGGCATCCACGCTGGACGATAGGGAAGAAGGGAGCACAAGTGACATTACCATTTCCTTTCCTTTTCCATTTGTGTCTGTTCTTTCAGCTTCTTAAATCCCCAGATGCCACGCTTTCCCCAGGCCCCAGCACTCTTGTATTTATCTAATAAACACAATATTCAGATTTTAGTCATCATGTGTTCTCTTTCCCAGGGTTGTTTGCTAAAAAGAGGGCAATGTTTAACCCAAAGGAATGGCACAAGGGATAAATGTCAGGCTTGATGATATCCAGATGGGAAGTATGGTTTGAAGGACTCAGATTTCTAGAAAACTTCTTTCTTCTTATAGGCTAGCCAGCTTTGCCTCCCCCCTGGCCCCCCAGACATGCGAGGACATTGGGAAAGGATTGTGCTGGAGGAGAGGGTACTCTCCAAGGCAAGCTAAGTCATGCTGGCCCTTGTTTCCAGCTCACCTGGACAGCTGCACTGTCCCTTCTCCTTCACTGTCCCCCAGCATCTCCTTCAAGGCCTCAGCATTGGCTGAGGGGAGAAGGAAAAGAGGGAGTCAGTGGAGGTGGAGGTCAGGGCAAGAGAAAGTTGAGCAGGGGGCAGGGGCTGGGAGAGCAAACGGCCAGTCTACACCCACCTTCATTTTGGATGATGCAGCGAACAATCCTCTCTACGGTGTCCTCATTCATGTCATCGTCTTCAGCTGAAGGATGAGAGGTTGGCAAGGAAGCAGGAAGTGAGTCAGCTTTGGGTGGACATTACCTGGTGGCTTCTGTGGCTTACTGCTCAAGACCTATCCCTTTGTCTATTTGCCATCATGCTGGATGTTAGCATTTGGGGGCCAGGGCAGAAAAGATGGGAAAGTCAGTGGGAGCCCAAGACTATCAACAGTGGGCCCTTCCCACCCATGCTGCCTTTCCTAGGCTTGCTTTCAGGGTGGTGTCATCCCAGTTGCTGACTCAAGAAAGCATCATTAAGCCTTGGTCAGGATTTGGCCTGGGTCTCTTGATCAGGAAGTCAGAAAGAGGTGTGGGGTGAAGGAAATGGGAGGAAGGTGACTGAGCCGGGTTCTAGGCTCCTCACTCACGGGGCTGGAGCTGGGCATCGTCGGGCTCCGAGCCCCTCGACGTGCGGCAGCGGTAGCCCTTCTTCTTGAGCACGTGGCAGATCATGAAGCCTACGAGGCCCATGAGGAAGAAGACCAGCACAAGCAGGAAGAGCATGTATAGCCCATGTTGGGGCGGCTCCAGGTCAGGCTGTGGTTCCGACATGAGGCCCTGGGGGGCGAGCGCGGGCCAGGGCGCCTCCTGGGGTTAGGGGGCTGCAGCTAGGGACTAGGGGAGGGATAGGAATTCGGTCCTCAGGACCCGAAACCGACGAGCCTCTGAGGTCCGGCCCCACCCCCCTACCCAACCAAGGAGCTGTCCGTGCCAGGGGTGCTGGTCCGGGGCAAGGGTGCCAGACGGTGGCTGCGCAAGCCCTCTTCCACGACCCTGATCCTGCTTCCCCGACGCCCAGAGCGTTCCCCTTTCCAGCTTGTCCTGAGCTTCCGTCCCTCCCAAGGACACTGCAGAGCGAGATGGGACGGAATTCTCAGGCGGCCGGCGCAAGAATCGCGCCTGAGTCAGCGCCCGCACCTCCTCCGCGTCGGCCTGAGCCAGGCCTCTGCAACCCCCTCCCCTGCCTGTATTCCCGCACAACGCCACCCCTTTCGGTTCCTCCCATCCTGACCACTTGGCCCACTCGATACCGGTGGCTTGGTTCTGGCTCCGGCTCCGGCTCGGGTTCCGGCTCCAGGGACGTCCTAGTCCGGCTTAGGGCCCCCGACGCCCTCCCGGCGCTCATCCCTTGCTTCCTCCCCCTCCCCCCCTCGCCGCCTCACCGGCTCCGGGCTCTGGCTGCAGATACCGGTGCCGCGGCAGGCGGGGGGAGGGAAGGATGAAGAGGGATGCGGGCTGGTTAGGAGCTGCGGCTGGCTCCGGACAACTCCGGCTGTGGGAAGGGGAAGGAAATGGGGATGGCGGGGGGGCGCCGCCGCAGCCGCCCTAGGTTCCCAAATGCCTTCTCCAGTCGCCAGCCCGGGACCAGGGGGCGGAGCGCAGGTGTGCGGGGCGGAGAGACAGAGCCTTGCGTGCTTGTGAGCGCAAGTGTGGGGCGCGCGTGACTGCGCCGCCCCCCTCCGTCCCCTCCGGGGGGAGTGTGCGGCGCCGAGTCAGAGTTCGGGTGGGGAGGACAGGCAGTCAGAACAAAGTGCTCTCCACTGTTCTATCCTGCATGCTTGCCTCATCTCCTGCCCTCAGATGCCTCGGTCTGGTGGATAGCCAGGAATCTTCCCAGCGGACCAGGGGAAGCTTGCTTTCTGTACCGGAGAGGGACGCAGTGGCGGTTCTCCGGAGTCTCCTAGACTGGTGACAATGGCCTGCGCCCCGTTTGGGGCAGCTGGCTGGACGAGATGTCTCGGATTCCCGAGGATTTGACCCCTGCCCGGGAGGAGATGACCCTCGCATCCTAGAACCGATGCTACCCGTCTGCCGCAGAGCGCAGATGCTTACGCTCCGGAACCTGGAAGGGCGAAGCCAAGCGAGGGGCGGAACTCCGCAGGGGGCGTGGTCTAGGAGGCGGGGCCTGGACTTCCCGGTTCCGCAGAGGCAGGCTGCGTGCTGACGCAGCACGTAGGAGCGGGGGTGGGGCAGGCGGCCGGGCGGGTGGCGGAGGCGCGGGGCCTGCTCCCGCCGGCACCATGGCCAAGACCGTGGCCTATTTCTACGACCCAGACGTGGGCAACTTCCACTACGGTGAGGGAGCAAGGCTGTACGCGAGGGGCTTCGGGACGCGGAGGTTTCGAGGCGGGGGCTAAAACTCCAGCGACGGGAACTGACGAACTCTCTTCTCCCACCCCCAGGGGCAGGGCACCCTATGAAGCCCCATCGCTTGGCATTGACCCATAGTTTGGTCTTGCACTACGGTCTCTATAAGAAGATGATCGTGAGTCTCCCCATCGCTGCTGGATATTGAGGGTGCGGGCGAGCTGTGTGGCCATAGGATAGTTGGGCTGCCCTGAATGCACCAAGTGCGACCCACCCTTGGGGTGGGGGGCAGGGTGGATGGAAGCAGCCAGGACCACCCGCCATCAGCGGAGTGTTGGTGGGTGGGTCCACCGACTTAATGGAAATTATTTTTTTACCTTAGGTCGGCCACCCTTTGACCTCAGGTATATCAACCTCGGGCCTATGGTTAGGGTGGAGTGGGGGGTGGTTTGAAGAGAGAAAGTGTTTCCTCCCCAGCGTCTTAGGATGTGGGCAGTGCTGTGGCTTCAGGAGAGAGGGGATGGATCACTTTATCTGGATGTGCGGTGTTCCCACCGCAGTTCTCACCCTTTCACTGCCACCTCTAGCCACCTCCAAGGAGCTAGAGCTCCAGGGAGGACTCTGGAGCCCTGTGTGCAAATGTGCATGTGTGTGTGGAAGAGAGCGGGAAGTGTCCTGGGTACTTCCCTACCAACTTAGAATATCCCCCACAGGGTTCTACTTAATTGCTACCCAATCCTCCATCTCCCAGATACATACATGGAGGTGGGCAATCCCCAATTTGGAATTTATAGTTGTGATAGGCGATTGTAACAGTTAAGCTCAGCCCTCATGCGTCACAAGGGGAATTAGTCAACAATATGTTGTCCACTGTGCTGAGGCACAGACAAGTGAATTAGCTACAGAAAAGACTGAGGTGATGTTAGTGCATGAATCTATGACTCCCTTGAAATTGTTTGCTGGTATGTACCCATGTGCATTTTCTGGGGAGAGAAGCTTTTTGTTCTTGCCCAGTTTCTAAAGGAGTGTGTGAAATTCCCCCAAAGGTAGTAAGTTTCTAGCTTAGCACTGTGGCTCTCCTGGGTTTTGATTAAAAGGTTGTCATATATCCCATATTATTTAACTCTAAAATTAAGAATTCAGAGAAGAGAGAGGATGGAATCAGAGGCAGGGGGAGGAGATGAGTATGAAAAGAATAAAAAATAGGTGGATAAAGGCTCAAGGTTGAGAAAAGATGGGAAAGATTAGGCTGGAAGTGGGAAGGAGAAGGCAAGTGCACTGGTGTTTAGGAGGCTTGATCATAGTACCCCAGCTGGCTCATCAGAGCCTCTCTTCTTCACTGACCTTTGCTTCATAGAATAACAAGGATTGGAGGGGTAAGGGGACTGCTGATGTGTGTGGATGTGGACAGTCCACTGGGCTGGGTTCAGTGTGGGCAGTCTCAACCTAATGAATGGGACTGATCTCGCCGGGGTTCACCTTATGTTTCCATCCCGAGGTCTTCAAGCCATACCAGGCATCCCAGCATGACATGTGCCGCTTTCACTCTGAGGACTACATCGACTTCTTGCAGAGAGTCAGCCCCACCAATATGCAAGGCTTCACCAAGAGCCTTAATGCCTTCAACGTGGGCGATGACTGGTGAGGGGAGAACTGGGATTTTTAATGCCAGCCATTTCAAGGAGAACATTTGAGTGAGGTCTTGTGGCAGCAGTGGGAACATATGAAGGGGGTCTGTGTCAGTGAATCATCATTTACTCATTTGTTTATTTGACAAATAATGGCCGTTTGCTCTAGGCCAGGCCCTGTGCTAATTGTTGGCAATGCAGTGATATATAACAACAAAATTTAATATTACAGTTGTGCTAAGTCCTGTGAAGGAGAGATATGTGGCTGACTGAGAGTGTATACGCAGGAGAATTACCCATCTTGGGAGTTGGCTGGTCACTAGAGGCTGGAGGAAGTAATGGAGGTTGAGGGGAGATCTGAAGAAAGAGTAGGAGATAATTAGATGAAAGGTAGTTGGGCACATAGGTGGTGAGGGCAGAAATATTGTGGGAATTAGGGACAACATGTGCTGAGGGTCTGTGAGAGGTTGGTGTGTTCCTCATTTGAGGAACAGAAAAAAGGTCATTCACTGAATATGAAAAGAAAAGTGATCTGAATCGCGGTTAAAGAGATGGGCAGGGCCTTTAAAAATTAAACAGCCTCATGATGAATTGGGGCTCTTATCCCTAGAGGAGAGGGAAATTATCAAAGTGTTCTAAAAGCAAGAGAGTGATTTACATTGAGGGAGGTTTACACTGAGCTGAATCATATGAAAAAGACTCAAGAGTTGGGCCCTGTGGGGAAGGGAACAGATAACAAAGATAAGCCATTATCCTTGCTTACATTCTCATATATATTCATGAAAACATAGCAGTCATAACAGCTACCATTTACTCAATTTATTTTTAGACTTTTTTTTAAAGGAAAATTTCAAACATTTCTGAAAAAATAGTACAGTGAATTCCCGTGTATCCTTCACCACCTGAAACGTTTATGAGCATATAGCCAGGCTTGCTTCATCTGCGTCCCAGATTATTTTAGTTTGGGTGTTTTTTTTTGTTGTTGTTGTTTGTTGTTGTTTTTTTTTTTTTTTTTTTGGAGGGAGGGGGCAAGCCAGCAGGGGCAGGGTGGCAGGGATGCAGAGGGAGAGGGAGAGAGAGAATCTTAAGCAGGGTCCATGCCCAGCTTGGAGCCCATTAAGGACATGGGCAGGCACAGGGCTTGACGCCAGCTGGATCTCACCACCCTGAGATCATGACCTGAGTAGAAATTAGGAGTCTAATGCTTAACTGACTGAGCCACCCAAGAGCCCCTGCATCTCAGATTATTTTAAAGCAAATCCCAGATGTCACATTTTTTACCTGCAAATATTTTATTGTGTGTCTCTAAATGATACTCTTAAAAACAATCATGCACACACACACACACACACACATTGTCATTATCACACCTAAAAAACAGTAATTCCTTAATACCATCATATTTGCAATCAGTATTCAAATTTCTCTAACTGCCTCCTAATTTTTTTCTTTTTTGCAGTTGATGTATTTAGGATCTAAATAAGGCCCATACGTTGTATTTGGTTGATACGTCTCTTAAGGTTTTTAAATCTGTAATGTTTCCTTCTCTAACTTGAATTTCTTCCTTTTTTTTTTTTTTTAAAGATTTTATTTATTTATATGAGATACAGATAGTGGGTGAGAGAGAGAGAGTGCGCTGCGGAAGGAGGGGCAGAGGGAGAGGGAAAAGCAGACTCCCCTTGAGCAGGGTGCCTAATGTGGGGCTTAATCCCGGAGCCCTGGGGTCATGACGTGAGCCAAAGGCAGATGTTTAATTGACTGAACCACCCACATGCCCCTGTATCTTGAATTTATTTCTTGAAGAAACCAGGTTGTTGGTCCTATAGAATTTCCTATAACAGCAACTACTGAGTGCTTACTCTGTTGTGCTGAGGTTTGCTGGTATATCCACTTCATTCTTACAGCAACAGTGAGATGTAATAGTCCTTTGCCTTAATTTAGGGATAAAACCAAAATTTGAGGAGATTTGGGTAACTAACCAGAGTTAACAAAACTGATCAGTCAAGGTGGCAGGATTCAGATCCAGAGACCTGGTTTTTATTTATTTTGAATTTATTCTATTTATTTCAGTTTTTTAAAAAATTATTTATTTGACAGAGCAGGAGCACACAAGCAGTGGGAGTGGCAGAGGGAGGGTGAGAATCAGGCTCCCCGCTAAGCAGGGACCCCCATGTGGGGCTTGATCCCAGTACTCTGGGATTAGGACTCAAGCCAAAGGCAGTTGTCTAACCAACTGAGCCACTCAGGCACCCCCAGAGCCTTGGTTTTTAAACACTACACTGTTTCCCTGAAAGATCCTACTGATGGAAGCACTTCGGGCTGGAAGATAGAAGGCTGGCATTGAGCACCTTCCCGGGCTTATCCCTACACCCTTGTTTTCACAGAATGCCTTCCTGGAATGCCCTTTGTTTCTCATTCAACCTTTCCAAGGCCTTCCTGGCCTTCACACCACCTTCAAGCTTCACACCACTGAACCTTTTTTTTTTTTTTTTTTAAATTAAGATTTTTATTTATTTATTTGACAGAGAGAGAGAGATCACAAGTAAGCAGAGAGGCAGGCAAAAAGAGAGGGGGAAGCAGGCTCCCTGCTGAGCAGAGAACCCGATGTGGGTCTCTATCCCAGGACCCTGAGATCATGACCTGAGCCGAAAGCAGAGGCTTAACCCACTGAGCCACCCAAGCACCCCCCACTGAACCTTTCTTGACCACACCAGGCACAGAGATCTGTCCAGTACACATTGCAGTAGTCATTTGGTGCTTGGTTGCATGCTGTCCTAGGAGATTTCTTGTTTTGTTTTGTTTTTTAATGATTGCTGCTACTGTTGTTTCCGAGCTCACTTTGCAGGTGTGGGAATGCAGAGTCAGCCCTAAGGCCCCAGCTGGGGCTCTATAAGTGCTCTGTGCATTTAGGGAATACTACCACTCAGCCCTTGGCACCGCATCAGTTGTACTGTTCGACTTAAGCTACAGTCATGGTTATCTCTGTATTTCAGATGAGAATCAGGTATTTTCCCTTTTATTTTTGATTGTTTTCAAATTAATCTAATATAAAAAGCCCAATTATACTGCAAGGCTTTCAATGGGGAAAAAAAAGTCCCAGATCTTTGCCTCCCACTCATAAATCCCTCTCCCTAGGGGCAGCCACTTTCAGCTCATTTAGCTATTTCTTCTGGTATTTATCTTTGGGTTTCAAAGCAATGATACTAATCTACTGTTACAAATAATCTGTGATACTTAAGTAATGCCTACTCTGTGTCAGGTAGCATTTTAAATGCTTCAGAGGCATTAGGTCATTTAAGCTCCTCAATCTCTGTGAATCAGGGTCACTTATTGCCTCCTTTGACAGATGAGGACACTTAGGCACAGAAACTATAAACAGCTTATCTAGTCTCATGATCATTGGTAGGTGTTAAAAAGTCAGGCTTGAGGGGTACCTGGGTGGCTCAGTTGTTAAGTGGCTACGTTTGGCTTGGGTCCTGGGATTGATCCCTGTATTGGGCTCCCTCCTTGGTGAGGAGCCTGCTTCTCCCTCTGTCTGCTGCTTCCCCTCCTTGTGTTCTCTCTCTTTCTCTGTCAGGTAAATAAATAAAATCTTAAAAAAAAAAAAAAAAAAAAGAGCCACACTTGAACTTAGGTAGTCTGGCTCTAGAATCTGGGCTCTTAAATCAAGCTGCCATATTATCCTGTCTCTTATAATATGCTTGTGTTGCTATTTTTCCACTTTTCAACTTCAATCATTGCCTACAAAGCCCTTAGTATGGGAAATGAGCATTTAGTCTCCTCATACTATCACCCTGGCTTGCCCTCCTGTCCCATCTTCACAATATAGTTAGATCACAATTTTTATTAAATAAGCATTCTATGTTTACATTGTTAGAATCTTGAAAAATTCACTTACTATAGAGTCTAATAGTATACTGTGGTTTAGTCTTACTTCCTGTATATCTTTTTGTTTTTCCTAGAGTTGATAATTGCATTGTTTTTTCATTTGCTTGGTTTTCTGGGTATTAATCATTAATTCTTCCCAGAACCTTTGAGAAACTATGAAACTCTCTATAGCTTTCTTTATCACATGGTCAAATGTGTCAGCTGCACCATTTTCTATTTTTGAGACTTAAAAGTAAAAATCTTTTAAGCTTTTCTTTTTCATAAGTTAAGTTTTTGAAGGTATAATTTGCATGCAGTAAAATTCGCCAGTTTTAGGTGTGCAGTTTGAGAGTTTTGTTAGTATGTATCAAAGTATACATTATTTTCATTTTCCCACAGAGGGCTCTTATGCCCTTTTATAGTCAATGTCTTCTCTTCAGCTTACCTCTAGGTGACAACTGATCTGAGATATGTCTCTATATTTTGCCTTTTCCAGAGTTTATATAAATGGAGCTTTATAGTATATAATCTTTTGTATCTGGCTTCAGGCCTCTCCTTTTTATAAAAAAGAAGATGGTAATAATTAAGATTAATATTTATCGATGTGTAGAATACTAGGTACCACACACTGTGTTAACTGTGTTAAAGGCTTTCTGTGGATTATCATTATTACTATTTCAGGTATATAGGAATGCAGCTCTTGCTTAAAAATGTGACTTTTTTTTTTTAATATTTTATATATTTATTTGACACAGAGAGAGAGCGAGCGTGCACAAGCAGTGTGGGGGGGGAGTGGCAGGCAGAGGGAGAGGGAGAAGTAGGCTCCCTGCTGAGCAAGGAGTCTGATGTGGGGCTTGATCCCAGGAGTTTGGGATCATGACCTGAGCTGAAGGCAGACTTAACCAACTGAGCCACCCAGGCGCCCCAAAAATGTGCGACTCTGAAAGAATGTTATTGAACATTGTGTTAAAATATGAAATACATAAAAGAACATTGAAAGAGAAACAAAGTTTATGTTCCCTCTCAAATTATTTCTTTTATGGCATGTGTTCTTAAGTACCTAGAAGCTGCCTACTTTTCTTTGCAACCAGGATACAAACCCCCTGACAGAGTGAAATGCTTTTTTACTTCCCATCCAGTGCCTTACACAGGGCTTGGTATACAGTCCAAAATATTTGTTGAATAAATTTGCAGATAACTTAGGTATATAGGGGCTGGGAGTTTATTGAACAATGGAGGTTGGAGGGGTGTGGACTCAGGGGAGAGGTGTAGGAAGGGTCTAGACAGGTAAAGGGCTCTGACTTGCTTCTCTTCCCTGCAGCCCAGTGTTTCCTGGGCTCTTTGAGTTCTGTTCCCGTTACACAGGTGCATCTCTGCAAGGAGCAACCCAGCTGAACAACAAGGTGACTGTGGCCCCGAGTCCTGTTCTCCCTTTGGGGTGGGTCCTTCTAACCGAAGGCCTTAACCCTGACCCTGAGCTTCCAGCTTTGTGGGTGGGCGAGGAGGACTGTGAGTTGGGTGTTTGTTTTTCAGATCTGTGATATTGCCATTAACTGGGCTGGTGGTTTGCACCATGCCAAGAAGTTTGAGGTAAGTGAGGAGTTGATGGGGGAGACAATGACTGCCCTGGTGTAGGTGGTCAGGATGATAACAGGGGGAAGCTGGGGAGAGGAATCATTACTGCATTGTAAGATCACTGTCTCACCACAGGCCTCTGGCTTCTGCTATGTCAATGACATTGTGATTGGCATCCTGGAGCTGCTCAAGTAAGTAGCCTGGGAGGAGATGGAGGGACTTATGAGACCCATGGCCGAGGCGGTATCTCACACTGTGCTGGCCCGTGACCCGTTCCTCCAGCCCCACACTAGCTTCTCCACCGTTCTTAATGCTTTACTCAGACTACTTTCCCATGCCCTGCTGCACACTCCCTCCTGCCTGCTCACATTTCAGTCTTCACTACACATCCCTCTCCTGTCCCTGCCGCCAGGCTGGAGTCCAGAGTTGCCCGTAGGGAACTGGTGGTATTAGGTTTCAGGTGACTTGGGCTTCATAATTCCAAACCTTGTTTTGGGAGTTGTGGGTTGGGGGTTTTCTTGCTGGGGTTCCCCTCTACCTCAGACTCTGGCTTGGCTCTCATCCCAGGTACCACCCTCGGGTGCTCTACATTGATATCGACATCCACCATGGTGATGGAGTTCAGGAAGCCTTCTACCTCACTGACCGGGTGATGACAGTCTCCTTCCACAAATATGGAAACTACTTCTTTCCTGGCACAGGTATGGGAGTAGGGATGATCATCCCCTTTACACCCTCAGCTCTTTGCCACGACAGCCTCCTGCTCAGCCTTCAGGTCTTGGCTCAAGTGGCTTCTCTTCGGAGAGGTCCATCCTGACCACTGCAGTTAAAGTAATCCCTCCTTCCCTATTACTCTGTCATGTCACTATGCTTGCTTCTCTCAGAGCACTCACTGCTGTTTGTATATATGGCAGTGTTTTGTTCTGTTTCCTGTCTCCCTTATCATGCCCATCCCCCAGGAGTATAAGCTTGGTGGGATTTCATTCATTTCATTAGTTCTCTCTATTGCTGTAGCCCCAGTGCCTGGTGCACAGGTTGGCTCATAGTAGGCCCTCAAAAATTATTTGCTGAATGAATGCAAGCCACAAGAGATGAAGTGTCTCTAGAGAGTGTGTGGTGGAGGTACACAGATGTAGTGAGAGGCCCTCGGTGTACAGATTGAAGTTGAAGCAGATGGGTTGTGGGTGTCCCCTGTGTATAGCTCCTACCCCCTACTCTCCACTTGCCTATAGGTGATATGTATGAAGTTGGAGCAGAGAGTGGTCGCTACTACTGTCTCAATGTGCCTTTGCGGGATGGCATTGATGACCAGAGTAAGTATCGAGGTCATTTCCCTGCTTACTAGGCCCCTTCGTCCTCCTTGAATTAACGTCTTCTGCCTGGTATTGTCTACTGTTGGGCCAGGTGTCCTTAAGGATGAACCCCCCGGAAATTGTATGCAACATATTTATGTGTATGTGCATTTTTTCTGGGAAACGGGTCATTAGCTTCCATCAGTCACTCAAAATGGTCTGGGACCCCATCCAGAAGCTTAGAACCAATTATTTGGTTCTTTGGGTTGCCCCTTTTCCTGGGCTACATGCTCTCTCAACCCCTTTTTTCCTTTTGTTCCCTGTCTCCCCATCCCCTTGGGGTGCCAGGTGCCCATCTTTGGCCCTCTCCCAGGTTACAAGCACCTTTTCCAGCCGGTTATCAACCAGGTGGTGGACTTCTACCAACCCACATGCATTGTGCTCCAGGTAATACCGCTGGTGCTTTTTTAAGAGGGCTCTGCCTGGGCTTAGGGGAATAGAGCAGGGAGAAGGATAGCCCCTGCGTTTGTCGGGGAACAGAAGTGAAGGACATCTGGGTCATTCTGATCAGTCATCTCACTGCAGCTGCCTGGGGTTTTGCTTTTCACAGTGTGGAGCTGACTCCCTAGGCTGTGATCGTTTGGGCTGCTTCAACCTCAGCATTCGAGGACATGGGTGAGACCTGCTCTCCTCTGTCCCTGGTTTTCAAGTGGGTTTGGGCCTCAATACGTGGAGTAGGGGTAGTTGGGGAATGGGCCATAGGAAGACTAGAAAGAGAGAGTCACTCCCAAGCAATGAGAAGGGTCCATGCGGAGGAACTGAGACAGGAAAGAGCTGGTGTAGCCAGCCAGGAGATGAAGTCAGAGTGGGGAAGCAAGATCACAGGCAGCAGCCTGGAGGTGGTTTGACGGGAGGCCCAAGAGGTTGGCAGTGGTGAGGTCATGCAGAGCCCTTAAACCCTGGTGAGAAGTCTGGATTGAATTTCAAATATGATGGGAAACTGTGGGAAGGTTTTAAACAGGGAAATGACATGATCCAATTGATTTTTTTTTTTAAAGATCTTACTTATTTACTTGAGAGAAAGAGAATGAGAGACTGAGAGTGAGAGGGGAAAGGTCAGAGGGAGACACAGACTTCCTGCCTATCAGGGAGCCTGATGCGGGACTTGATCCCAGGACTCCAGGATCATGACCTGAGCCGAAGGCAGTTGCTTAACCAACTGAGCCACTCAGGTGCCCTCAAATTGATGTTTTAAAGTGACTGCTCTGACTGCTGAAAGGAGGAAGGCTTGGGGGTGGGGTGGGGGACAGGAGTGGAAGTGTAAGGCCAGTTAGGAAGGTGTTGGTGTTGCCCAGGCAGCAGACGTCATGCCTGGGTCTAGGTGGAGGAGGCGGCCAGTGAGAAGTAGGTGATGGGAGTTGTATTGTGGAGGCTGGAACTGACAGCACTTGCTGGTACTTCGATGAAAATAGTTGATTAACAGATGAGGTGCCAGAGTGGGTGTTGAGCTGGAGAGAGGTGGGAACGCCCAGTGTGTTTCAGTTTTTACTGAGACACACCATATAGACAATAAAGTACACATATCTCAAGGGTATAACTCGGTGAATTTCACTACCTAGATCAAGATTATGGAAGCTTCTCTAGTTCCCTTCTGCCCTTTCGAGGCAATACCTAGAGACGTATACTTTGCCTTTTGATTACTTCTTCCAGCCATTCCTCTGGTTCCTTCTAACAGGGAATGTGTCGAATATGTCAAGAGCTTCAATATCCCTCTACTGGTGCTAGGTGGTGGTGGCTATACTGTCCGAAATGTTGCCCGCTGCTGGTGAGCATGCTCCCTGGTTTTCCTTCTCCCCCTTGTCCTATGTGAGTTGGTGAGTTGGGGGCTCCCTGAGAGGGCTGGAGGGCCCACTTGCTCAGCCTAGCCCACTTTGCTGTTTGGTTTCAGGACATATGAAACGTCACTGTTGGTAGAAGAAGCCATTAGCGAGGAGCTTCCCTATAGTGGTAAGGACCACTCTCTGATAACCCACAGCAGGAGGCATTCTCAGAAGACCTCCAGAATGGCATAATTTCAAGGCAGATGGGAATTTAAAAATTTTTCTTTTTATTACAGATAGGAAATTTGACACTCTAGGAGCCCTGCAGACTAAATCGCTGAGTTCAGAGCAGGGAAAAGATTAGACAGCTATTATGCAGGGGTTTTGGATGGGAAGGAAATAGATTGGGAAGTCTTGGGACCTGGTTGTCTCTGTCTGAGCCATGCCTTCTCTTCTAATCTCCCTTTCCCCATTTAGAGTACTTCGAGTACTTTGCCCCAGACTTCACGCTCCATCCAGATGTCAGCACGCGCATCGAGAATCAGAACTCACGCCAGGTAGCAGCTGAACCCAAAAAGATGAACCCAGGGGTGGGGAGGGCCTAGGAGAGGTACAGGATATGGGGAAACTGGAGAAACCGGAGAAGAGAAAAAAGTTCTCAGCTGCCCTGTCACTGTTAAAACTAAGACACAGCCCAGGTTAAAGTAGAGGCAATCGGACTGGGGGGATTAGAACTAGGATCATAGGGGTGGGAGTCAGCTAGAAGGGTGGATGCTCTGGGAATCACTCACTCCGTATTCCAAATCCCCAACCAGTATTTGGACCAGATCCGCCAGACAATCTTTGAAAACCTGAAGATGCTGAACCATGCACCCAGTGTCCAGATTCATGATGTGCCTGCAGACCTCCTGACCTATGACAGGACTGACGAGGCTGATGCAGAGGAGAGGGGTCCTGAGGAGAACTACACCAGGTCTGGGGCAGTGACTTGAGAGCAGGGGTTTCCAGCAGGCTTGTCGGGGAAGTTAAGAGGGAAAAAGTATATTAGAAGGCATTAGCTTAGGGACGCCTGGGTGGCTCAGTTGGTTGGACAACTGCCTTCGGCTCAGGTCATGATCCCCGAGTCCTGGGATCGAGTCCCACATCGGGCTCCCAGCTCCATGGGGAGTCTGCTTCTCTCTCTGACCTTCTCCTCACTCATGCTCTCTCTCACTGTCTCTCTCTCAAATAAATAAATAAAATCTTAAAAAAAAAAATAAAAAGAAGGCATTAGCTTAATCATCCCTGGCTTACTTCCTTTGGGATGCCTGCCCTTTGCTCTTTTGTAATCCCCCACTCTTTCTGTATGTGTGATTGTGGCATAAATAAGTAACATATTTATTGTCAGAATTTTAAACGGCACCAAAATAATGTTAAGCTTGCATTCACAGGATCCTAGACCAGTTCCACAAAGTAACCAATATTAATAGTTTGATTTATATCTTTCCAAATAGACTTTTTCAATAGGGTTTAAGTATACTATCCAGCATGCGCATAGTAACACAAATATACATACACATGCATTCTTAGAGCTTGTGCATCTTTTTTTTAAAATGCTATTTGGATCTGTACTGGTTTTTTTTTTTTTTTTTTTTTTAAGATTTTATTTATTTGACAGAGAGAGGTCACAGGTAGGCAGAGAGGCAGGCAGAGAGAGAGGGGAAAGCAGGCTCCCTGCTGAGCAGAGAGCCCGATGTGGGGCTCGATCCCAGGACTCTGAGATCATGACCTGAGCTGAAGGCAGAGGCTTAATTCACTGAGCTTAATTCACACGCTTTTAAACAGCGTATTTTTCCATGTGATTATATATAGATCTGCTTCATTATTTTATCAGCTGCATAATATTCCGCCGTGTGGCTGTAGCATAATTTAACTAAGTACCATAGATGGCATTTGTATTATTTCCCATTTTTTCATCATAACAAAGATGTGGCCCTGAACCCCCTTCTGTGTGTATATATATATATATATATGTCTTTGCATGCTTGTGTGAGTGAATTAGATTCCCAGAATTGTTTCTACTTAGGTCAAAGGCTGCGTGCACTAAAATTTTTGGTATCTGCTGCCAAATTGCCTTCCAAACAATCTGTAAGGGTTTATAATCTTTCCAGCATTTTACTGGCTCCTTCCAGGTTCGGAGCTCTACAAGTCACTGCTCACATACTGCTATTTAAGGTCCTTTGATTTCTTTCCTCTGTTCATTTTTTTCAGATATAATAATTACATTTACAGTTATTTTTTTTTTAATCTTTATTTTTCTGAGATATATACTAAAATACAGATGCATTGAATTAGGAAAAAAAGAAATTCGGGTAGAGGTGTTTTTTTTTTTTTTTTAATCCCAGAATAGGCTTTTCTGAAAAATGAAGGGAAAAGACAGCAGAACACAGAAGTGGAGAAACGGATGCACTTAATGGAGAACAGATACCCTTACGTGGCTGAGGGATAACCACAACTGGACACTTGCACCTCCCACTCACTGTTAGAGGTCTGAGCTGACTCTGCTACAGAGTCACATGGCCTTCTCACACCCTTCCAGAATCTGCTTCTCTGTATCAGAGGTCAGCTTCCATATCTCTCCTTTAGGCCTGAGTTTTATTGCTTGGACCTTCGGGACTAGTCCACTCCTTCTCCTCCACGAACACTGCTTTATTCCCACTCCTGGTTGAGGAAGTATCTGAACATCTGGCCTCAGGATTCCTTTTTAATGTCTCACCACCTTGTCTCCTCTTTGTCAACTTCTCCAGATCTCTGAAGCTTGACTTCTAGAAATTGATTTTCTTAAAAACCTGCTTTAAGTTACTCCTTTTGGTTGAGTTTGGCTTTTTCATCTGTGGTTCTAGGCTGGAATCTGGGCCTAATGTCTGTACGATACCACCCCCTCTCAACAGCCAGCAGCAGCTCAGGCCTCTTCCTGCCCTAAGCCCTCCCTCCCTGTCAGACCACCCACCAAGTTCCTGTTCTTTGATGCCTATAGCTCCAACTTGCGTATCATTTGCAGAGTAGTAATAAGAGGAGTTACGACTTTCTGTGGGTTTGCTAAGAACCAGACTCAGTACTAAATGCTTTATATTAAAACGTACATACCATCATGTCATCATTCTGCTGTCATCAGACAACCCTGAGAGGTGGCTGTTAACATTCAGTTACCAGAGGAGGAATCTAAGGCTCAGAGAGGTTAAGTAACTTGCCAGACATCCTAAGGCTAGTTAAATACCAGGGCTGAGAGTCAAACCTGAGTCTCTGACTCAACACCTCCACACCTGAGGCACTCAGAAGTAACTGAGACATTGCTTACCAGGCAGATAGGGCCTTTCCTGACTTTGTTCCCCAGCTTCTCTTTGATGACTTTCTCCCTTCTTTCTTAGTTATCAGCTGTGGGCAAGGTAATTTAGTTTTCTGTGTTCTCCCAGAGAGGAGTTTTCCAAAAAGAAAGAAATGAGTATTGAGTACTTACTGGGCCCTGTGTTGCTTTCACATCACTTCACTCGCTTCTCTGCTTACAACTCTCCTTTCCATTGCTCTTAGAACAAAACCCCATTCTCTGATCATGGCTTTAAAGACGTGCTGGTGCTTACCTATGTCTGTGGTCTCATCTGTAACTACTCTCCTCCCTGCACACGGCTCCCCGCCATCCTAGCCTTATGCTCTTCCTAGAATACATCAGTCTCCCTCCACCTGATAACTCTGTATTTGGCTTTCTTTGCAGCTCAGAATGGGCTTCTTGAGATCTCTGCCTGGCCAGCCCCTTCTCAGACTTGAAGTCTTACCTTCCTAGAACAGCTGTCTCTAATAATTCTGCCTGGAATGTGCCCCTTTCCACCCTTCACTCTTGGTCACATCCCTTTATTTCATTGTGTCAGAGCACTTGCCAAGATGGGAAATTATCATCTTTATTTATTGACTTTGTTAGTTGTCTTGTTTATTCAGTAAGTTTATTGAGGATAGGCAGAAATTTTATCCAGCTTATTATCTACCATATCGCTATGGCTTATGATGGTGGCTGGCATGGAGTGTCTCTCCATAAATGTCTATTTAGACTGCATGAATGGATGGGATGGATAGTGACCAGTATCTGCCAATAGGAGAAGAGTGGTTCCTGTATAAAAGGGGCCTAGGAAGTGGTTCCGGAGAGGGTAGCTGTGTGGGAGAAGGTGAGAACCTGGAGAATAGGACCCTGATTTGTCTCCCTTGCTTTGCAGGCCAGAGGCACCCAACGAGTTCTATGATGGAGACCATGACAATGACAAGGAAAGCGACGTGGAGATTTAAGAGCAGCTGGGCTTGCTCTGTCCTGAGGAATTCCTTTTTACCTCTTGTTTGGGCAGGAGGGAAAAGATGTGGCAGCCCCAGCCCTCATGGTCACCTTCTGGGCTTTTACCAGTGCTGGAAGAGGGTTTGGAGACCACATCTGGTATTTGAACCAATGTCCCCTTTCCTCTTCTTCCCAAGGCCTGACAATGGTACTTATTAGGGATCAGACAGGGACAAGGATAACTTCCTCTAGGATATCCTGGGTAGTGGGCCCTAGAGGCCAGTCCCTGCCATTTTGGCCCCCTTACTCCTTCCCTGCTTCCCTCCAACCTGGAGACTTTTAGGGATGAAGGTGTAGACATGGCTGATGTTGCCGATTTTCTTCTTCCCTGGGTTCTCGTACTGCAGGCCTTGTTTCCAGTGCAGGTGAAGAGTGATGGATTTTAGTGTGCTCTGGCTCCCTAACACCTTAACCCCAGATGATGGAAAGTACGGTTTTGAGTCGGGGGGGGGGGGGAATGTGAAAATGTCCTGTTCTAACTTTTGGCTTTATGTCCATTTTACCACTGTTTTTATCCAATAAACCAAGTTGGTATTTTTTGTAACTTTTGCCTTCCTGGGAATATTCTTAATTCTTGCTAGCCGACTGTGTGTGAAAGGAGGGGGGGGGTGATGATGTATATAATAAAAATCGTAGTTAACATTCATTCAGCACTTATTTAGGCCCTGTGTATGCATTCTACATGGATTGTGTTACTCATATATAAGGAGTTAATAGAGCATTGTAATTATCAGTTAGATAAATGTGGGCAGATTATTGGTTTAAGAGCGGGAGTAGAAGATGAGTTCAGGTGTTTGAACTTGGGTGTTTGAAATGGTGTGATGCTAGTTGGTGAAGATCTACTGGGATAAAAGATGTCAAGTGCTTGTCACTGTGCCTGACATAAGTAGTTCCTCCTTATTTTAATGTCTGTGTAAGAGCGATGGTAGATACTATAGTAGCTGCAAATGTGGACCTTTCCCTAGAGCAGTCTACAATCCAGTAAGGAGTGAGATAAGTGATATAGCAGATGTAGACAGTGGTATGAGAAGGAAGAATGATAGATGGATCACTCCTTTCATGCTTTGATCCTGTCTGTCAGTACTCTAGCTAGAAAGTACGTAGTTTTTGAGCTGTTTTGGACAAACTGAGTTTGAAGGGTGGGCTCGACAGTTCTTTGCAATCGCCCCCAGGCGATTAGAAAGTGGAATGCAAGAGATGAAGGCCAGCTTTCTGAGCCAGCCAGCATTGGAGAGTCCCTGTAATATCCCAGGCTCTAGCCTGAACACCAGGGTCTCAGAGTTGTTGAGTCACTGACTCTACCCTCCAGGAACATATATTTAAAATCTTTTCCAGCTGCAGGTAAGATAATTAAGTCAATACTTTGCGGGCCTTCTGGGTGCCACATAACTTTACACAAGAGGAAGAGATGTAGCTGGGAGAATGGATGAAATTAGGGAGAAAGCAAGCTGGTCAATCAAAGAATACTCTTGGAGAACACCTGCTCTCTTCACTCAGGTTTGGTTTATGTCAGTAAGAAATCCTGGTCAAACAGGACTTCACAGACCTGGGTTTAAATTTTTGCCATTTATATGTCCTTGGGCAAGTCACTGTAACTCTCAGAAGTCCACATTTTCTATCTGTAAAATGGTGAGACTAGAGGAATCTATCACATGACAATGTGAGGATTCAGTGAGGAAAAACAGATTTTTGTTTTTTAAGATTTTATTTATTGAGGGAACACAAGCAGGAGGAGTGGGGGAGAGAGAAGCAGGCTCCCAAGGGACTGGATCCCAGGACCCTGGAATCATGACCAGAGCCAAAGGCAGATACTTAATGACTGAGCCACCCAGACACCGCCCAACCACCAAAAAAAAAAGTTTTTTGTTTTTTTTTTTAAGATTTGTATTTATTTATTTGACAGACAGATCACAAGTAGGCAGAGAGGCAGGCAGAGAGAGAGAGGAGGAAGCAGGCTCCCCACTGAGCAGAGAGCTCGATGCGGGGCTCGATCCCAGGACCCTGGGATCATGACCTGAGCTGAAGGCAGAGGCTTTAAACCACTGACCCACCCAGGTGCCCCCCCCCAGAAAAAAGTTTTACATAGTGCTGGGTTTAGAGCAAGTGCTTGGTAAATGGTAATTATTACTGTGTAGTCACATGTTGGCAATAGTTTTTCAGATTAAATAACAACTAGAAAATAGTAGACCTGCGATTCAAAAGTAGGTAATGTAACTCCAGGGCTAGTTGAGTTCCAGTCTAGCACTTGCTCTGGACCAAGCTCTGCTTTTAGCACATAGCTTTCAATAAATGATAATTTTTTCATGTGCTCCACTGATAGTGCACACATAAAAACTGTACCATCCCTGAAACACCGGCACTGGATTTTCGGCCGAGATGACACTCTCTCTTACTTGATTTTTGGTTTAGATATTATCCTGTTCTAGGGTGTGAGAGGGTCTGGGCATTACAGCCACGTGGGCACTGCGTGGGAGCGGGAAGGCTTGCGCCGTGCAGACCGCCAGGTGGCGCCATCCCGGGTTGAGGCCGCAGAGTTGCACCGCCCATACAGCCCCCCCCCACGTGGGTCCGAATGGTTAGGCCCGCCGGGCAGGTAGCTTGCTTCCGCGACTTCCCTCCACCCCCTCCCCCCATTGGTAGGAGCTGCGGGTCCGGGCGGAAGTGGGGCAGGCGGGCGGGAGCGAGGCGTCGCCGTTGTATATTCATGAGGCGCGCGCAGCCCGGCATACTAATGAGGCGGGGCGCGGCGGCGGGCTGAGGAGCTGCTGGGCGGCGGCGGCGGCAGCGGCGGCGGCGGCGGCAGCGGCAGGTCGGGAGGTGCCGGACGGGAGCGGCGTTGGCGCGGGGTCATCTCCCAGCGCGAACCTAGACATGGACCCCCTCGGCGGGGGCCAGGGCCCCGGCCGCGGGCCCCGGGACAAGAAGAAGGGCCGGAGCCCGGACGAGCTGCCTGCGGCGGGCGGCGACGGCGGCAAATCCAAGAAATTTGTGAGTGTCCCTCCCACCCGGTTCCCTCAGCCTGGCCCCTTAACCGCCCTCCGGTCCACGGAGACCCCCACAGCTGGCCCCAGGGTTGCACGCCTGTCTCTAGGGAGCCGCCCCCGCGCCTCTCTTTCTGGGTTTACTGGGTCCCGGGCTCCACAGTCCGACATCCTACCCCTCCGGGAGGGACCTAGGGAAACCCCAGAGTCCTACATTGCTCTCGCCCTGGCAGCCTCGGGGCTTTCTTCACACCTTCCCGTCCTCCCTCCCCCCGCCCGCAAGCCAGCTCTGCCCTCCGCCCGCATAGCCTGGCGGGTCTTAGCCCCATCCCTTCCCTCTTAGCCCCACTTCCTTTCTTCTTCTCTGTTACCCGCACCCGCCTCTGTCTTGTTCTCTGTGCTTTTCTGGGTCCATTTTCCCTTACTCCCCCCTCCTTTTTTTTTTTTTTTTTTTTTTTTTTTTTTTTTTTTGTATCCTCTTAATTTGCTTCTCCTAAAGGTCACTTCCTTCTCAAGATTGATCCCTTTCACCTGCTAACTTTCCTCTCTCCTAGCCCCAGCTCTGGGCCCTCAGCCTGGTGTCACCTGATAATCCTTCCCCTCTGGAATGTTACCTGACTTGGGCCCTACCTTCCCTCCTCCCTTACATGTTTGTCCTTGTGATGGCAGGAATGGGTTCCTGCCCAGGTCCATCCATGGTCATTGGGCATGACGTTAATTTGGTTCCCGGTATAGCTCCATCCAGAAAACCTGTCTCTTTGCCCTGTTGCTTATCACTTTTCAGGGGATTAGAACTTCTCATTATAATGATGTGCCCCTCTTGACCTAGGTTGGTGATTTAAACCTCTCCCGTAGGGAGGAAGTTACGCTGCAAGTCGAAGAAGTTTCTGAGTAATTCAGTTGCTTTTTGTACGTTTCCCATGATAACCATCTCAGCTTGTCTGCCACCTCCTGTGTGACAGCCTAGTGACATTCCTTTTCTGACCTGTAGAAGAGTATGGCTTTCCTCAGGTGCCAGTGACTTCTAATCCGAGTCTGAAGGAATACTGATATTCTTGTAACACTATCATATTTCATTATCTTTGCCTGCACTAAATCTTTTTTACTCCTTTCTCCAGGGAGCTGTTTGCTTTTTACTGTAAAAGCTTTGAGAGATATGGGGCACTATCCAAGAGAGGGAATCTTGAATCTTAGTAATCATTTGCTAGTTGTAAATGTAGTTATTTAGTCTTGTCTTCCAAGTAATTATGCCCTCATCCCAGGATCTCTTTGTACTAATCAACTGGGTTCTGACTCTTCGCTCTTTCTCTTTTCTCTTATCCCCAACCTTTAGTATTCTGACCCAACTCCACAAGTTTGGGTAGAAAACTGATAAAATGATGGAAACAGGAAGAAAATTTTCTTTGGGACCTAGAGGATTGAGATGTGGAGAGCACTAAGCAGAATTAAAATAGTGACTCATCTCTTCCTACCTATTTCTAGCAAGGCAGGTGCTTCTGGACTGCCCTTTCCAGTGACTTATGGGCTGTCTCAGTAACTGCCTGTTTTTCATGTGAACATCTTTTTTTTCCAGAAGTGTTGGGTTAGTGGTAGTGATGACCCTTCCCCTGTGGCGATTAAAGCAACATTTCCTTATGTTTCTTTAGGATAGGAATTGACACTCAGAGAGCTTTCCTTCTAAGACTTAAGTTCTGGGGCCCATATTCTGTTTTTATTTCTGCATATATATCTGTTATTTTTGTTTTGCTTTTGTTTCCGTGGGTACTGTTTGACCTTCCTCACCCAAATTCCAGTTATTCCTGCTAATCTATAGTGAACTCTGTGACTTTTGTAAATGTTTTTCAAGTCCTTTAAATA